CCCCCCCCCCACTTTCTCTCCCCTCCCCAGCTGAGGACCGGGGACAAAGAAATCTCTTGTCCTAAAAAGACAAGGGGAGGAAATGTGGCCGCCGCGCATTAAAACCCAGCAAGAGGCTCAGCAGGCAAAACCACAGCCTTCCCGGCAAGGATGAGCTCGTATTAGCAGAAAACTTCCGAGTTCTCAGGTCCCGCCGGAGCCGTTAGCCAGGAAGGGGTGTGGACGTGCGGGGGCGGGGGCTGGGGGCAGGCAAACAGGACAGGTCGTGGGTTAGCAGAGCCGGGCCGGCTCACATTCCTGCAGCCCCGCCACACAGGAGTGCCTGCCACATCCGGACATCACGGGGCACCAGAAAAAGATCCGAAAGAACTGGGCTCGTGCCTCCCAGGGAGCGTTCACCTTTGAGACGTTTGCTCTGGCAGGTGCACATTTAGCCCAGAAAGGCTGCCACGAAGCAGGCGGCTTCCCTTCCGAGAGCCATTCAGATCAGATCAGTTCGAGAGCAACAGAAAAGACTAGCCTCGTTGCTCTGTAATCGCACCTCGGTTTCTCTGCAAAAAGACGGGACCCACGATGCCACTCTATTCCCCTCTTCCTCAAACGTGGTCTGAGCGCCTAAGCACACAACGGGGAGAGACAATTCCGTCCCATGGCCTCCGGAGCCGTTCTGAAGCAAGTGTGGGGAAAGAGCCTGCCGGAGCCCTGAGCATCCCCGGGCAGTTTTCTAGACGCTTCCGGGGCCAGGAGCCACGCAGGGGCAAGGCTACATGAAAGTGTTGCTTCTTTCTGCCCAGAGTGGTGGGAATCTGGAGGATCTGATATTCGGGTCTGGTTCCGGCGACTTGTGCCACTTGGGGGATGTTGTGCGAAGCTCCACCAAGACGATATGGGACCGAAGCCGGGGGACATGGGACCGAAGTCCGAGGACACGGGACCGAGGCCCAGAGATGTAGGACTGAAGTCTGGGGACGCAGGACCGAAGCCTGAGGACACAGGACCAAGGCCTGGGGACACGGGACCGAGGCCCAGAGATGCAGGACTGAGGCCCGGGGACTCGGGACCAAGGCCCGGGGATGTGAGACCAAGGCCCGGGGACGCGGGACCGAAGCCCGGGGCCGTCAGTGCAAGGGGCTGGGTGGCAGCAGCCAGGTGGGGAGATGCAGAGAGTCTGAGCTGGAGGACGGTCCACTCTCTCACCGAGAGCCCACACCCTCCTTTGGGAGTGGGGCGTTCTTAGCGCTTTCTCGCATCAGGGACCCTACTGGGAAGTGGACGGAAGCCGCGGGTCCTCCTCTGGGCAAAGCAGGCCAGCGCGCACCCCTTCCGGTTTGCATCTGGACCTCCCAGAGCGCCGCGTCCAGGCCCTGGGCCACACCGCAGGAGGCTCAGCCTCGGGGAAGCCACGTCCCAGCGACGTGTGGCAGACAATTCCCGAAAGCGAACAGATCTGGAGAAGAGTCCCTGCATGTTGCACAGACTTTGATCCCCAAAGTGAACAGCCACGCAGTGGGGTGTCCAAACAGGGTGGTGGCACCCTGCCACTTACAGTCCCGGGTTCCCCTTACTATGTTCTCGATACGGTTACATCTGATTGTTGTAGAAAATGGGGGAAATACGGAGCATCTCAAAGAATGTTTTAAAATTTATCTATGGTCCTACGGGCCCCGAGAACAACCCACTTAATATCTATTGACGTGTGCCTTTCCAGGTGTTTCTCTCTCGGCCCCGTGCATCGACACGGCTGTCTATCCATCCGGAGTTTTAAAAAGACAAAATTGGGATCATACGGCTTGTTCTGTTTTCTCACTTGCTTATTTACTGTTGTGAGTAAGTTAAAGGCGTGCCCCGCGTTAGCAGCTCTCAGTGGGGGCGTGATGTTCGATTACTGGATATTGCTTCATGTGGATCAGGTTTCCGGGCCATTTACTGGGAGCGATGCTCAAACGAAGCCTTTTGGGCGAGACGGTACGATATCACTAATTTGAGTCCCAGAGATTCAGAATTTATGGCGATTACGTTTATGAAGAGCCTGGTTGCCAAGGAAATGGAGAGTGACTGACAAGACGGCAAAGTTGTGCATTAATCAATGGAAGGAGAGCAGGTCGTGGGATTAAAGGCAGAACATGGGAGGAGGGGGCCTGGCCCTCAGCATCAGCACACCCGTGTCTGCTGCCCCTGTCCTTTCCGGGCTGCCTCTGGAAGCTTCCACTGCTCACCTGGTTGGCCTGTCCCAGCTTCACTTTGCCCCCATTGCACAGGAGGGAGAGGGCCCGGTGCAGGACCCCTTAAAAGTCCTGCACTCACTCTGGCCACGGCTCTCGAGTGAGGCTGGATGTCCGGCCTCGACGGTGTGGCCTCACCCGTCCGCCCTCACACTTTCAATAGGTGGGCACAGAGCGGAACCCCAAGCTAGAGCATGAAGGGATGCTGGAGTCCACCCACGAGGAGCGGCTTTGGCCCCCAACTGGTCACAGCTGCCTGACTCGTGGTTAGCACCCCCTGCGAGCCTGGCCACCCCCTCCAGGAGCCCCAGGGCGCCTCTGCGAGTCACAGGGTGCCTCGAAGGAGAGCCTCTGGGGATGATTTTCTAGGCGGGGTGCCGGCATGGGGGGAAGGGGTCTCACGGGGCAGAGGCAACAGCACAGGCTGGGGAGGCAGGGCCCTCCTTCGGCTCCAGAGCTAACGAAAGTTCCTTAAAGACACATATGACTGGAGCTGCATTTCAACGTTTCCCCCCAACGGTTTTGGTACGGAATGCGCATAAAGCACACGTCCCGAGTGGCACGGAGAAAAGCCTGGGTTTTTAGCTTCGAGCCTTCTGGGTCGCTGGCACGACCTGGCATTAATAAACCTTGTGTCACGGGGCCGGCTCTCCCGGTGTGCGGGGTCTGGTGCAGGCCTGGGCACCCTGGGCCCTGAGTCAAGCCCCGAACCCACTCTCCTGTGCTTCCTGGTAGTTTTTCTGCTGCCTTGGTGGTGACTGGGGAGCAGGAGGTGATGATTTGGTACACATGGACACGTGGTCCAGAACTAATCGTGACGTCAGGGAGGGCGTCGGCAGGCCTCGTTTGCATAAAGAGAGGCACAAAGATGTTCAGCACAAGTTCGTCTCCGGGGGGCTGGTCTGGGGGACTCCGCGGTTTCGTTCTGCCCCTTTCAGACCCAGACACGCTGCCACGCACCGCTGCTGGACACGTACCGTGGCCCGAGCCGCTGCGCACGTGGACCGTGTCACGTGTTCCGACAGGAAGTGCTCACTGTTCTCGCCCGGGCACCAAAGACACGGGCGCTCACCTCCAGCCTCGCCTCACTCCCCTCGCCGCTCACCACCGGCCGTTAGGTGGCTAATTTAAGCAGAGGTTAAAGGACAAGGAGAGAGAAGCAGGGAGCTCACTCACGTTCGACGCGCTTCTCGAGCACGGCCAGGTGATTCGCGACTTCGGCTTTGAGTTCGTTGATCTTAAACGCTCTAGGAATGAAAACGAGTCAACACATAAGTCTTAAACTCTTCAAAATTACGATGGGCCTGGCGGTCACCTGCCGAACCCCTCCCGCGGGCAGGCTCACCCCTGTAGGGGGCACAGGGGGGCGAGGGGCTGCTCTCCAGGAGCTCAAGGTGTCTGAAGGTCGGGCGGAGGGGGGAAGACGCCCTCGGCTGACGTCCTTCCGTGACGGAAGGCACGGGGTGTGTTCATGTCCCCACACCTGGGCGGGGACGGCCCTCGCCCTGCACCCTGCTTGGCCGGGCAGAGACCCCTTCACAAACCCGCCGCGTCCCTTCTGGGCCCAGCCTGTTTGGCGCAGCAATGCCTGGGCTTTGAGGGCGTGTCACCCACATGCCCCTGGTCGGCAAGATGCCACCTCGAAATAACCAAGGGCGGAAAGCATCACTTTGGGACAGGCAGGACAACTCGGAGCGGAAGGAAGCCCATGTCTACACAGGGTCTCCGTGGCAATGCTTGTTTTCAGGCCCATTTTCAAAGTGGTGTCAATTCAGGGTGTCCGAGTGGCTCAGTTGGTCAAGCGCCCGACGCCGGATTTCAGCTCAGGTCATGATCTCACGGTTCGTGGGCTCGAGCCCCACGTCAGGCTCTGTGCTGGCAGTGTGGACCCTGCTTGGGATTCTCTTTCTCCCCCTCTCTCTGCCCCTTCCCTGTGCTCTCTCAAAATAAATAAAACATTTAAAAATAAATAAATAAGGGACGCCGGGGTGGCTCGGTCGGTTAAGCGTCCAATTTAGGCTCCGGTCGTGATCTCGCAGTTCGTGGGTTCGAGCCCCGCGTCGGGCTCTGTGCTCACAGCACGGAGCCTGGAGCCTGCCTCGGGTTCTGTCTCCCTCTCTCTGCCCCCTCCCCCTCACCCCCACTCACACTCCGTCTCTCTCTCCCTCAAAAATAAACATTAAAAAAAATAAAAAATAAGTGAATAGAACAAAAATGGTGTCAGTTCTTGTAGGTTGACCTCTGAAGCCCAGGAGAGCCGGTGGAGAGACCTGTCAGCAGCATGAGCTCTCACGCTCCCAGCGCCCAGCGGCCCTGCTCTTCGGTATATGGCGAGCGCTTCCTGGGTCCCACCCGTGCTGGCTCAGCTACAGGGGGTCATGCAAGGACTCCCCCTGGAAGGCCGCCCCTCCGGGTGAGCGACGTGCCGGAGCCTTGCCGGCCAGCACGGCCTCCAAGCGAGGCCCCACCATTGCCGTGAGCAGAAAAGCATACCTCTGCAGAGACTATGTGTCTAGAAGATTCTGTACCTTGAGAACTGCTCTACGACCTGGGTCAGCATGCTCTGGATTAATTCTTCTTTTTCTGCAGACCAAAAGAGAAAGGCAGATGGAGAAAGGGAGAAGTCCGCGGACCGCTGTGGCCTGAATTGGGATGTCGTGGCGGGTGACGGTGACACCGGGGCAGGGAGCAGCCTGGGCTACCTTGGGGGGGACGCTCCGGCCCACGGTCAGCACGCGGGGCCTCCCCAGGGCCTGGGGTCTTCCCGTCCACCTTCAGACGCTCTTCCCTCCTGTCCTGCTCCCGCCAACCTGCGTGTAAGTGGCCTCTTGGCAGAGCTGGTCCTGCCGGAGTCAGCACGAGTCATAAAAAGCAGGCAGGACTGGGTCTCTAAATACGGGAAGTTTTCACTTAGTGCCCCGCTCCATTTTATGGGGGCAATTACTAGGACAAAGCAAGTTCAAGGCATGCTCCAAACGTAAAACACGGCGTTCTCATGGTGGGTCCTGGCGAGAGGAAGTGGGCCAGGGTGAGCGAGTTTCTTCCTGCACGTAAACCTGGGCCGCGTGATGGTTTTACAAGGTCCCGGTCCCGGGCTGAATATAACCTGCCAGCTTTCCTGTTTCCTGACTGGGCTCAGCGCCAGATGCCTCATAGGAAGGCACAGACGCTCACGGCACTGTTCTTTCCAGCACTCTCTCTCCTGGGAAGGGGGACGGCTCGCTCGCCTTGGCCTCAGGTGGCTGTTCGTCCACGCCCTAAAACACCGAGAACCCGCACAGGACTTACTCCTGAGCCACGTAATCTCTGCTGGCTCTATGCCTAAAACCAAAACGAATGAAAAGCAAACCAAACCTGCCCAGACAAACACGAAATCTCAATTATCCGGTTTGGCAGTGGGGTGCTAAAGCCACAAAAAAAAAAAAAAAAGCTCCCGTTCCCACGTTCTGATCTGCAGTCTCCATTTTTAGGAAGGAACATACGCATGTACACAGAAGGCATTCATCACAGTGTTACTGAACTTAGCGGGGACTCTAAAAGCCCAAGTGCCCATCAAATGGACATTAAGTAAATGATGGCCCATCTGTCCTGTGGAAATAGTCTGCTATCAGAAATAATATTTTGGAAAACGTTCACATCTGTGGTTAAAGAAAAAGAGAGAGAGACATTGCAAACCAGTAATGCAAACGTGGGCTCTCATTTTTGAAGACATTGGGAGGAGACACGTTGGTTGTGAGATTATATGTGCACTTTTTTCTTCCTTTTGTTTCTCTAGATCTAATATATTTCTATAATGAACGCACGTTAATTTCACGAAAAGCATTTAAAAAACAATCTAGATTAGCCTCTTGAGACCTCTCATCCCTTCACCTGCCGAATGCAAGGGTGATGGACCAAGGTTCTCTGTGGCATTAGCATTCTGAGACCCGATGAGAAGAAGAAAAACGATGTTTTGTTAAATCTTTTGAAACCGTATGGGGCGCCTGGGTGACTCAGTCAGTGGAGCGTCCGACTTCTGCTCAGGTCATGATCTCACGGTTTGTGAGTTTGAGTTCCCATCAGTTCTTCTGTGCTTTATGGCTCAGAGCCTGGGAGCCTGCTCAGATTCTCTGTCTCTCCCCCCCCTCTGCCCCTCCCCTGCTCATGCTCTGTCTCTCTCTGTCTCAAAAAAAAAAAAAAAAAAAAAAAGACACTATTAGAGGAGTGAAAACGTCATCCAGGAAACTTTAAGAGAGCCCTTGGTGGAGCTGCTGGCTGATCCGGGGCCCTGTCCTTCAGGGAGCCTACTCCTACCCCAGGGGAGAGACACAGCGACTCTACCAGCAAGAGCCACCGGTGAGAAAGCTTCACAGGCCTCCTTGGTGGACTCAGCGGAATTTTAAATCACTCCGAAATCTTTGGCGAAAATGGTGTCGCACAGAGCCTTCGAAGGTTAATGATCTCGAGGTCTTGAGATAAATTTAGAAGTCTATCAACCAATCGATATGTATAGACCACACCGCCTAACAACAGCAGAACACGTGTTTTTTTCAGATGCCTAGGAAGCACACACTAAGACAGACCACACAGAAACCTCAAAATATTTAAAAGAATTGAAACCATGCAGAGTATGGTCTCTGACCATAAGAGAATCCAGCCAGATGTTGGTAACAGAAATCGTAGGAGAATCTTCAAACGCTTGGAAATGAAACAATACGCTCCTAAGTGATTCAGGGGTCAACGAGGAAGTCTCAAAGGAAACAAAAGAGACCTTGAACTGAATGAAAATGAAAATGCAATATATATCCAAATTTAGCTGTGAGACATAGCTAATGCAGTGCTGAGAGGGACATTTATAGCACTAAATGCTTACATTAGAAGAGAGGAAAGACTGGACTCTAATCCAACGGCCTAGAAAAAGAAGGGCAAAATAAACCCACCACAATAGCAGAAGAAAGGAAGTAATAAAAGAAATCAATGGAGAAAAAAAACAACTAGTAAAACAAGGCAGAAAATCAATGAAGCCAAGCGCTGGTTATTTAAAAGTATCAACAAGTTGCCAAATCTCTAGCAAGATTGACAAAAATAACACACAGAGAAGACGCGGATTTGCAATATTAGGAAGAGGAGGGGATACGGCTACAAATCCTGAAGGATAAGGGACTTGACACACACAAATTTGAAATCTTAGAGGAAAATGAAGCAACTCTTTAACAAGCATGAATGACTATACTCACCCAATATAAAACAGGTAATTTGAACAGCCTATAACTATTAAGGAAAATGAATTTCTACTTTTAAAACTCTACCCAAAGAAATTTCCAGGGGCAGATGGTTTCACTGGAGAATTCTACCAAACATTTGAAGAAGAATGAACACATTTCTAATTTTTTTTTAATATTTATTATTTTTGAGAGAGAGAGAGAGAGAGAGCGAGCAGGGGAGGGGCAGAGAAAGAGGGAGACACAGAATCGGAAGCAGGCTCCAGGCTCTGAGCTGCCAGCACTGATGCGGGGCTCAAACTCACGAACCATGAGATCATGACCTGAGCTGAAGTTGGACGCTTAACCAACTGAGCCACCCAGGTGCCCCGGAATTAACACATTTCTAAACAATTTCTTCCAGAAAACAGAAGAGGAGGGAACATTTCCCAATTCATTTTATGAAGCCAGTATGAACCTGATACCAAATCCAGAAAAAGACAACCGAACAAAAGAAAACTACAGACCAATATTCCTCATGAATATAGATGCAAAAAACCTTAACACAATATTAGCAATTAGAATTCAACAAAATGTAGAAAGGATTATACATTAAGAACAAATGGGGTTGATTCCAGGGATGCAAGGCTGCTTTGATATTTGAAAATCAATGAAAGCAATCTACTTTATTAACAGCTAAAGAAAAAAACACATGATCTATCAATTCAGAAAAAACATTTGAAAAACTATTTAACATCTGTTCCTTTGATAAAACTCTCATAAGGGGCACCTGGGTGGCCCAGTTGGTAAAGCGTCTGACTTTGGCTCAGGTCATGATCTGACAGTTTGTGGATTCCAGCCCTGCATCGGGCTCTGTGCTGACAGCTCAGAGCCTGGAGCCTGCTTCTGATTCTGTGTCTCCCTCTCTTTTGGGCCCTCTCCTTCTTTCCCTTTCTCTCTCTCAAAAATACATAAACATTAAAAAAAAAAAAAACTCAGAAAAGCAGGGATAGAGGAGAACTTTAAGTTGGTAAAGAACATCTACCAAAAACCTACAGCTGACATTACACTTAATGGTGAAAGACTGACTGCTTCTTGCTTAAACTGTGACACGGCAGGGATGTCTACTCTTAATATTGTCATTAAACACAGTGCTGAAAGTTCTAGCCAGTGCAACAAGGCAAGAAAAAGCAAAGCAGATCAGAAATGAAGAAACGAAGCTGTCCCCATTTGCCAATGACATGATTGTCTACACCAGAAATTCCAAGGCATTTACAAAAAACTCTTAGAACTAATAAATGAGTTCAGCAAGGTCACAGAATAGGAGATAAATATACAAAATTGTATTTACATACATAGCAATGACCATGTAGACACCAAAATTAGAATCACCATACCACTGTATAAACATTAAAGAAAAAAAACCCCAAAACTTGTGTATAAATATAACAGAACATATGCAGAAGTTGTATGATGAAAACTACAAAACACTGATGAAAGAAATAAAAAAAGATCTAAATAAAGGGAGAGACATACCATGTTCATGGTTTGGAAGGTTCCATATAGTAAAGATGTCAATTTTCCCCAAACTCATAAATGGGTTTAACATAATTCTTGTCAAAACTCCAGCAAGATTTTTGTAGAAAGAGACACAATTATTCTTTTTAAAAATTTATTTATTTATTTTGAGAGAGAGAGAGAGAGAGAAGGAGAGAAGGAGTGTGTGAGTGGGGGAGGAGCAGAGAGAGAGAGGGAGAGAGAATCCCAAGCAGGTTCCTCGATGCCAATGCGGAACCCGATGCGGGGCTTGATCCCAGAACTGTGAGATCATGACCTGAGCCGAAATCAAGAGTCAGACGCTTAACTGAATGAGCCACCCGGGCGCCCCGATTCTGACTTTTATGTGAAAATGCAAAGGAATTAGAAGACTTAAAACTGTTTTTAAAAAGAAGATAAAGTGTACTGAATCAGTCTATCTGAGTTTAAGACCTATGACAGGCAGACCTCAGAGATATTGTACGTTTGGGTTCAACGAACTTGAACATCACGATAAACTGAGTCAGAATGAACTGTTTGGTTTTCTAGTGTGTAAAAGTTATGTTTATATTGCACTGCAGTGTGTTAGGTGTGTAATAGCATTATGTCCAAAAAATGTACATACCTCAATTCCAAAAGTACTTTTTTGTTAAAAAATGCTAACTATCGTCTAAGCTTTCAGTGAGTCCCAATCCTTTTGCTGGTGGAGGGTCCTGCCTCAATATGGACGATCGCTGACTGATCAGGCTGTGGGTCTTTCTTTCGCGAAGGTTTCTCTTGATAAGCAATGCAGTCTGAAAGCATTTTGCCCACAGTAGGACTCCTTTCAAAACTGGAGTTAGTCCTCTTAGACCTTGCTGCTACTTT